GACCAAGAGCCCCCCCCGTGGTGCCCCCCAAAGTCCCAGCCCCTCCCCTCACGGACTCAGCACCCCCCATGCTGTCCACCTCAAGAACACAGTCTTCCCCCTGAACTCCCCATGGACCCAGGGCCTCCCAGTGCTGACACTCTTAGACTCAGGCTTGTCCCCTACCAGCCTAGGGCCTGTGTCCCCTTCCCACCATGCAAGTCAGGGCCACCTCAAGAACACAGTCTTCCCCCTGAACTCCCCATGGACCCAGGGCCTCCCAGTGCTGACACTCTTAGACTCAGGCTTGTCCCCTTCCCACCATGCAAGTCAGGGTTTGAGTGTCCACATCCAGTCAGAGCTGTGGATTGGCAAAATCTGAACCCTACAAAACTTGAGTACCCTCAAGTATGCATGCCTATCATTGCCAGGTGCTGGGGCAACTCTCATGCCGTGATTCCCCACCCAGGCCCTGGTGCTGTGGAGCAAGGGTCAGCCTTTGACATCCCAGCTTGGTTCTCTGTACCCTACAATTCCAATCCAGTGTGCGTGTAGTTCTGAGCAGCTCTATAATAGAATCCAGTATACAGGCCCAGCTCTAGCTTTCCTGAGCAAAGCAACATTCACAAAGCCCTGATCCTCCTATTCCTACATTAATAAGCCAGTATGTTTGCATTTTTCCATCCCCAGAGCAACCCCCATGTTAACAATACAGGCTGCCAGCATGGAGGGAGCAAATGCTGAATAAGGAAACAGTTTGGAATCGTAGAGGAAAATAAATTTGTAAAGTTTAGATTCCCTTGGAGATTTCCCTGCTAAACAGACTTTGAGTCTTAAAAGCAGCATGGGTGGTGCTCAGAGATTCCTGGGTTCTGTCTCTAACCCCTGTCTCCCGCATACAGGAGGAAGAGGATCTGCAGTACGAGGAAGAAATCCTGCGCAACCCTTTCTCTGTCAAGTGCTGGATCCGCTACATTGAGTTCAAACAGAATGCCCCCCGGCAGGTGCTGAACCTCATCTACGAGAGAGCCCTCAAGGAGCTGCCAGGCAGGTATGTGGCTGGGAGTGAAGGCATGGAGCACTCTTTGGGTATGCCTGTGTTGCTGTGAGAGGTGTAAGAGCATATGTTGACATGCCCAAGCAATGAGCTCGATTAACAGTGGGGATGAAGCAGCAGCCACTTGAGTACATTTGTGGGCCTACTTGTACTGCCCAGGCTGCTGTATCTGTGCTGCTGTTATACAAGCTTGCTAGGTCGAAGGTAGCTCATCTCTGTTGGCACATTCTGAAGTCACACACTGATTGCAGTGTAGACATACCCTTTAGGATCTCACAGCCCCTGTGAGAAGCACTGCAGGGAAGTGCAGAGGCACTGGATATGGACAGCTCCACCCATCTAGCCTCTCCCAGCAGGAGGTGCTTTGGGAGTTGGGACAGGAGCGCAGACTACAGAAACTTTTGGTGTGACAACTCCATGGTGTTTGCAGTTACAAGCTATGGTACAACTACCTCAAGCAGCGCCGGAAGCAGGTGAAGAACAGGTGTGTGACTGACCCCGGCTATGAGGAGGTGAACAACTGCCACGAACGTGCCCTCGTCTTCATGCACAAGGTAGGGGGAGGCCTGGGACGGATGTGTGGCAGAGCTGCTGAGCTTGATTGTAGTATATAAAGACGCCCTACGAGAGAATGGTTGTTGGAGGAAGCTTCCAACTAAGCTGTTGGTTATTGGAGGACCCGTGGAAGAAGCTTCCAACTAAGGACAGCTCCTGCCTCAGACCCTGGCTCCCCCCTTCCAGCTCCCTCCACCCAGGTTTCCCCCTCTCCTCTTCCACCCTCTCTCCTCCCTTCTCCCGCCTCCTTTCCCTCCTCTTGCACCAATGAGTCATTAATTATCTATGCAAAGCCCTGTCCCTGCTCACTCCATTCTCCCTCCCTCCCTGTCATCAGGCAGGGGCAGAGGGTTGGGGTGCAGGCTTTGGTCTTGGGCTAAGGGATTTGGAGTGTGAGAAGGGCTTTGAGCTGAGCCTGGGGCAGGGGTTGGGTGCAGGAGGGAGTACATGACCATGACAGGGATTCAGGATGCAGGCTTCAGCTAGACACTGACTACCACAGGTGTGGTGGTGCAGTGAGGCTAAAGGCAGGCTCACTCCTGCACTGGCCCTGCACCACTCTCAAAGGCAGCCAGCAAACTCTCTCCATCCCAAATCCTGTTGTGCCCCTCACTCCCCCCCCCCATTCTGTGGAGGCAGAATACAGAGTGTGAGAGGGAAACCGCTCCAAGGCAAAGGGAGGTGCGCAGCAGTGGGGCGAGGAGCAGCTGAAGTGCTGCAGTTGACAGTTTCTTGGACAAACCAGTCAAGATCACCTATCAGAGGCTCCAAGATCTACCAGTAGATCCCAATGGACTGGTTGGTGACCACTGCCTTAGATCCTTGCCTGCCTGCTTTGAGTCCCATGTGTATCTTCAGAACAGGTATAGCTTGGGCAGCAGCAGGGCCAGCTCCCCCAGGCCATCACTAGCCAGCATGCGTCAGCACTGCCCAGGCCTCGTGCTCAGCTTACCTGTGTGCTGGGGGAGCAGCAAGAATCAGCCTTGGACTCAGCAAACTCATTTCCTGCTAGCTGCTGGCAAAGGCTCCCGCTGCGAGGGGCAGCTGGTGTTTAACCCCGGGTGGCTGGTCTGGTGGATGCAGGGGTCACAGGCCCAGGGGAACCAATCCCACTGGTGGCTCTGTCACTTCTGGCCTTCGCCTGGGTTGGAACCAGCAACTTCAAGCCACAAGGCTCTGTAGGTTCTCTTGAGGATCCCCTCCTGCCCAATCAGAATGAAACAAACAAGAAGCAGGGGAAATCTAAATCCCAGGTGAGGTTCCCACCTGTGGCCCTGCCCTGGTAACCAATCCTGCCTCTTGCACTGGCAGATGCCCCGGATCTGGCTGGATTACTGCCAGTTCCTCATGGATCAGTGCCGGATCACCCGCACACGCAGGACCTTTGACCGAGCACTCCGGGCGCTGCCCATCACGCAGCACCATCGCATCTGGCCCCTCTACCTGAAGTTCGTGCGCTTGTACCCCCTGCCTGAGACGGCCGTGCGAGTCTACCGCAGGTACCTCAAGGTGAGGGCGCCAGCCTCCCTGTTCCCCTTTGAACAGCCTCCTCGGGGTTTTCCTGTTTCTGCTCTGTGCATCTGCAAATTGGAGCAAAGGCCTCGGATCTGCTGCTCCTCATAGGGTCAAAATCCAGCCCTGATCCCGCCCACAAGCACACGGTGCATTCGCAGTGGGGATTTGAGGGGCTGGCTTGGACAGTCCCGCTGGGAGGCTAAGTGACCTGGCTGGGGTGGTGCAGGGAGACTGTGGCAGAGCCGGGACTAGAGCCTTTCTGCCACTCTCAGGTTAGCTACCGAAGTTCTGCACTGTCCTTCCACTGGTCCCCTGCCCCAGTAGCACATCACTTCCCCTCTCTGTGCCCTGGTTCCCTGGGAGGGGGGGAGCGGCTAGTAAACTGGAGTGCTTGGAGATGGGGAGGGTGCTTCTGAGAGCAGGTTACCCTGCTAAAGCACGGGAGGGATGGTTGAACGTCCCTGGAAATGCTGGAATTGTATCTGCCTAGTGGCGATGATTCTCTTAGCATCTGTGCAGATGTCCCAGCTCAAGGGCTAGGACCCGGGGTGGGGGCGCTTGGCTGCCAGGCATGTTCATTGCTGCTGTGTGTGCTGCAGCTGAGCCCCGAGAACGCAGAGGAATACATAGAATACCTGCGCTCCATCGACCGGCTGGACGAGGCCGCTCTCCGCCTTGCTGTCATCGTCAATGACGAGAGGTTTGTCTCCAAGGAGGGGAAATCCAACTACCAGGTGAGTGGCCAGGCTGCCGGGGCAGGGCTTGCTTGCGGATGCCGGTCACCCCTTCCCCCCCATTGCTTGTAGCTCCCCTTGCCACGCCCCTTAAGGACAGTTTGCGCCCCAGCCTCCTTGCTAGTTCCCCAGCACTGCCCCGCGCAGGGTGTCTCGCGTTGCGGAATGTACCAGTGGGGCACTGGGCCCCAGGGCGCTGACAAGCGGAGGGAATGGGCAAAGATGAGCGAGCCAAGCCCAGGGCAGGAACTGGAGTAGCCGTTATGGGCTGTGCTCCCTCGTGGGTGCAGGAGTCCTGGGGGAGCAGCGAGGTGGGCCCCAGTGGGTG